AGCAGCTGAGTCCTTAACCATCTTCAAGAAACGACTAAAAACACATCTGTTCCACCTTTATTTGACCCTCTAACTCTAGCACTTTCTATTCTAATTCTACTTCATGTATTTATCTTTTTTTATTAAAAAAATAACACTAGCTTTCTATTTTTTCTATTCTATCTACTTGTTTTTCTTTGTGTGTGTGTGTGTGTGTGTGTGTGTGTGTGTACTGGTTTATATATCCTGGTGGGGACTTAAACCTGACTACACACAGACTCATGGGGACTCGTGTCACGGTGGGGACCTAAATTGTGGTCCCCACGGGTACAAAAGCTTATAAATCATACAGAATTAAGTTTTTTGAAAATCTAAAAATGCAGAAAGTTTCCTGTGAGGGGTAGGTTTAGGGGTAGGGTTGCTGTAGGGCAATAGAATAGATGGTCTGTACAGTAGAAAAACCATTACGCCTATGGAGAGTCCCCACAAGGATAGCTGACCAGACGTGTGTGTGTATATATATATATATATATAAATATATAAAATACCTTGCTACGTGTACTGCGTTAGGCTAACCGAGATTAGTCATTTGCACTTACATATTGTTGCTCTTTTGTTAGTTTTGATTGCTTCTATTGTCCTCAATTGTAAGTCGCTTTGGATAAAAGCGTCTGCTAAATGACTAAATGTAAATAAATAAATATGAACTGATATCCAATTAACTTAAGTACTTTTTTGAATTTCAAATTTGAATGAATTTCAAATATGAAATTAACAAATATTAACTATTATATATTATTTATATATTAAATATTAACAATAATAAAAATTTATAATAAAAAGCTAATGTTATTCATTAGTAGTAGTAGTAGTAGTAAATGTGTATTTAACGTTCATTGCTAAAAAGCAAAAATCACACATGAAAAAAATAAATAAATATGCAAGTTTGGGGGGGAAAAATATTTGCTGCTTAATATCTTAAGTTTCAGGCACTTTTGTGCCTATTTGTTAAAAGTACCATTAGCAACATTTTTAAACATCACTAACCATTGGTGGAGCTGCTCATGATGAAACACAGACTGCTGCACACCGTCGGCTGCTGCTGTATCCTCTCTAGCCACAGAGGGGCGACATCAGGCTGAGACATACACGTTAGCAGGAGCCTGAGGAAGCCACAGTATTGCAAGTCACACACCCGCATTCAGTAAAATGCAGCATATATTGCGAAGTTTTCTTCGAATTTTGTAACAGGGCTTTATTACCACTGACCTGCAAGTTTCCAAGAGCGTAGGTGGATCATTGTCCCCGAGCAGCAGAAGCAACAAAGCGCTGAGATCCAGAGAACATGTCAGACATGTTTTCATTTAACAGAATTAGCAGTATTGTATTTACAAAAATAATTCAATTATTCTGAAGTGAACAGAAAGGGAGAAAGATGCTGTGTGTGTGTGTGTAAGGATGGATTTGACCAAAACTGAATTCAAGATTCCTATCCTGTAATAAAACAATAAAACTCACTAATCTGAAGAGAGGATCTACGAGAAAAAGCACAGAACAACAGCTGGCCCAATCTCATCTCTTCCGCCTGTAGTGTGGTGTGTGTCTCTGCACTCCAGACTATGTATTTTCCAAGGTTAGGTATGCACTTTTTACTCTTAGATTCATCTTTGAGAATTTGATGTCTTGTATTGATTTGACATCTTTGAATTGACATAATACATATTTACCTGACTGATAATAAATTGTTACATTTGATTTTATTCTGACTTACTCTGAAATTAGTAGATTATTCTAGTAGATTAAAGTGGAGTCTAGTATTACCGCAAATCTGTGTTTAGGATAGATCATACAGAAGGCTCAATGAATGGAGCATGGGGCACATCATTTGAGACCTTTTCGATTTCTGACTATCACTGCCTTAGTAAGTTGCAATTTTCGTGAATATACAAAAACTATGCTTTTTGTTATGAGCAAGTAGAGCGCGGCCGAGTTAAAGGTAGATATTCACACTGCATCCTCTGTCTAAGATCAGAAATGACGAGTTTGTGTCCGTGAGGCTGCGACCGGCCGGCAGAAGTTCTCTGTGAGATACCGGGTCCCTAATGAACGAATAATTGAAAGTACGGGATGTTCGGAATAATCAAATATCTAAATTAATACATAACCGACATTTGTCATCAGTTTTTAATTAGAAACATTGCCTAAATTTAATGATCACTTGAAATTGGAGTCAGATTGTACACGGGTATTTTTCCTTCTTCCATTTAAAAAAAATCTCCGTCCACATGAAAACGCAAACGCATGCTATGAAGCACTGTCAAGAGCATGCCAAACCAACAGGTGGCGATATAATCTCAACCGTAAAGCCATGTTGGCCAATCAGAAGCCTGAAAAAGTCTCCAGTAGGCGGAGAGAACAGCGCAGGCGCCGACGTCACAAGCCAAAAACTCCGGTTTCGCTGTCTACACGATAACACTGCAACCGAAGTTTTTGAAAATCTTCACCCTGGCAGGCGTTTTCAAAAATAGTCGGTTTCAGTGAACTGGTGCTGCGTTTGCATGTGGACGAATGGCCTACCGCGTAGAAAAAGCTACGGTTTAAAAAAATAACAGGGCCTAAAATTGAAACTAAATCCTGATAAATTCAGAGGTGCAAGTAAAAGACCGAACACGCATTAAACCTTCAACCAGGCCGCTGGACCGGTGGGTGGATACTTACATGTGTGTGTCTCTTACCATAGGTCAGAACTCTGGCTGAGAGATACACACGTGTCATGGAAACAGGCCATATTACCCAGAATTCCAACGCAGATTTCCTGTAACAGAAGCTCTGAGTAATTATAAGATGTTATAAGCATTATGTAAAGCAGTTACAGTGGTAAAATGACTTACTGTGAGCCGTGGACTACGTGACTTTGCGATCACACCCAGCAAGATGTCTGGAGCTTTGAACTCTTGAAGAAAAACAGCCACATCCTGGAGAGAAAACACATGTAATGTGTTAATAGCTGGTGGGCATGGAGCAGGGTGTTGAATACAGTGTGTTTCAGTTTACCTTATCCATAGCCATGTCCCATACTTTACACAAGTCCTCCTCAAGATCATCTGTCAGTTCCATTGAAGAATCACTCAGCCCACTTTCTTGATCTGTCACCATCTAGAAGGTAATTGAAGTATATATTAAGAAAGAAATGTAGGAATTGCACAGCTTCAGGAAAATTTGACGATTCACATTAGGCATATATGTAAATAACTAGATGTAAACAATAATTTAATACTAATGAATCTAGTTAAAATATCCAGTCTAACTGACCATCAACTACCACTAGAGGAAGAAAAATTTAAGAACTTAATTGCTTGGGGAATAAATGATCATTTTAAACTATTTTTTGAACATCTGGGAACCCAATATCGTCGACCTGATGGTAACAATTCAAAGGCATCCTTTATCGTATACCTTTGAATTGTTACCATCAGGTCGACGATATTGTGTCGATAGAATTTAATAATAAAAGGGGGTCAAATGATATATAAATGTAATTAAAACGCATACAACAACACGCATTGAAACACAAATGATTCCATTTTATGGGTGGACATGGTATAAGACATGGCACAATGGTGGTGACAAATATAGGGCATAATAACACGTATAATTGTTGAAAAACTTGACTGAAAAACGTCTACGGTTACTAACGTAACCTCGGTTCCCTGAGAAGGGAGCAGATGTTGCGTACAGCGTAAGCTGATCGCACTGGGAAAACACCTTTCTCCTCAAATACTGAAGCCTTATTCAGCATAAGCTGATTGCATTGGGGAATGTGTACCTTCACGCTGTGTTACTGCGAAGGGCGCTCAGCATAAGTGGAGACGTCAAATAAACACAGCGACACTCAACAGTAATCGCAATGTATGGTACAGTCACTGTACACATAAGCAGCACATTCCAGACAACAGGTTCTAACCGGAGCTAGACATGCAGTTGTGGAGCTTACCGGAATTAGACCGCACAAAGGCCTGGGGAACTGTGTGTAAGTTGGCTAGCAGCAGCAGCGCCGGTGCCGCCTACTACAGAAGTGGTGTTTTTTTTTTCTTTTTTAAAGAAAGCGAGGTCCCGAGTGGGGATAGTTGACAGGCAAGGGGGGTTCATCCCCATAGAAATCTAATCACATCATTTCTCCCAACTGACAACCTATGAATGTCAGTATGAATGCTGATATCACAGCTACACACACTTGAGCATGGAGGGCGTACAGCCGTCATCCGAACACTCTTGTGAAAAGACAAAACTACTGAAAACAGGCAGTTGACAGGGTCTTGGCCCTTCGAAGTGCAACAATCTTCGAAGGTTCCCCACCTATGACCGTAGAGACGTCTTGCCCATGATCACAGACAGACTTGTCATATGAGGGAAAACTGAGCCACATTCAGCATGTTATGTTAAATAATTACGGACCCGGCTCCAGAATCAAATCACTGAGAATGCTTCTGAAATTAGTGAGGGTGATCTAACCTTAATATTATATAAAAAGGCCTAACCATAATATTTTTGTGCCGTTCATTGCTATGGCGGAAAGAGCACTCCTTATAATCACTAAAACGCTGTCAGTTCATCATGATCTCACAAAGTTATGTTATAATCAATGAGTGCAGAACTCAACACTGAACAAAATCTCAGGCCTTTTGAGCATGGATTCTAACTTGAACGCTTCTGATTGGTGTTCAAGAAATCAACAGATCACAAACACAAATGGGAGTGTCTGCCAAATCTGTTTCGCCAATATGATATTATTTTAGCTTCAACTGAGGGTGCTTAGCATCCTCTAGCACCCCTATCGGACTGGACCTGATTTTAGCTATCCCATCCATCCTTCCCTCCAAAAATACAGGTCTCCCCCTCTTTCCAAATTCGGATTCAACCCACCATCCAATGTCTAATGCAATATTATAAAAAAAAATTTGTGTGATCATCAATCAGGCCTTAAAAACAAATGAAATAGCCTGTATTTCTATTCATTTATGCACATTTGTATGTTTATTTTGTTTATACTCTGTTTATTTCATTTAGTTTTTGTGCATAATTCATTTATATTTTATTTATGTTTCATGTATATCTATTTACTTCCATTTTTCAAGCTCACTTGCACTCCAATTTTTTTAATCTGTTTAGAGATTTTTACATATACATGTTGGATGTGTTACACTTAATACACATTTATGCTTAATAATTGGAATTGTCATTTTATGTGCTTTTTCTTCACTCGTCAAATTGCTATGACAGTTTTGACACTAGTGGGGCCAATTTTCATTATCTTGCCTAGGGCCCCACAACTCTGCGAGCCGACACTGTGGAGACCAATGATGTGGAAGTCTAGCATGCATGGTTACCTGAATAAGGCGTGTCAGGGTGCTGAAGAGCCAGTGTTTGCTGTACACCGTTTCCCCGATGGCGTCCACCTCGGTCTCATCTTCCTCCGGTGGAGGCGACGGGTTGCGGTCCATCTCCAGTGAACCTGCAGCGGAGGATCCACAGCTGTCTCCATCCACCTCCTCAGGAGAGTTTGGACAGCCCTGGTCTATGGGTATTTCCCATATTTTTACTCTGCAACACATATTTTAAATTCACTGGCTATTAAAGCGTTTTAGTGTTTCAGGTATTGTCCAATTACCAAAACGGGAAAGAACACATTGTCACATGGTTCTTCTCTGGTTAGGGAGGTTTTAGCCTGATTTCAACTCGTCTATCAGTCACCAGTCCTCAGCATATATGAATATAATATTTAAACAATTACACTTTTTTTGTGTAAAAACATTTTTTGATTTGAACGTGGATCCATGCGGGTTACTGGGCTTCCATGTGCCCCCTGCAGGAAGAATCCTTGTTTTCGCTTTGAAAATGGTTATTAGGTTTTGTTCTTCCTTCTAACACTGTGGCTGCATCTGAAATCACATACTTCCTAACTATATAGTAGGCGAAAAACAGTATGTGACAGAAGAAGTATGTCTGAATTCACAGTACATCTGGTCAGATTCTGAAATGTGCATACAATGTACACTTTACACTATCCCATGAGGCCATGGGAAATGATTTGTGAATGGCAGTGAAGTGATGCAACTGGTGCTGGAAGGTCATGTGAAATTGGCATAACATGGCCAGGAATGTAGTATGTCCAGATTACACTCATACTACACACATTCTATATAGAACATACAGTGCTGCTTGAAAGTTTGTGAACCCTTTAGAATTTTCTATATTTCTGCATAAATACAACCGAAAACATCATCGGATTTTCACACAAGTCCTGAAAGTAAACAAAGAGAACCCGATAAAACAAATGAGACAAAAATATATACTTTGTCATTTATTTATTGAGAAAAATTATCCATTGTTATATATCTGTCAATCTTTGCTTTCAGTATCTGATGTGACCCCATTTTGCAGCAATAACGGCAGTTAATCATTTCTTAACTGCTGACCAGTCCTGCACAATGACTTGTAGGAATTTTAGCTCATTCCTGAGTACAGAACCACTCTGTGATGTTGGTGGGTTTCCTCCTGAACTGCTTTCTTCAGGTCCTTCCACAACATTTCTATTGGATTAAGGTCGAGACTTTGACTCGGCCATTCCAAAACATTAACTTTGTTCTTCTTTAACCATTCTTTGGTAGAACGACTTGTGTGCTTGAGTCGTTGTCTTGCTGCATGACTCACTTTCTCTTGAGTTTCAGTTCTCGGACTGATGTCCTGACATTTTCCTTTAGAATATGCTGGTATAATTCAGAATTCATGGATCCATCAATGATAGCAAGTCATCCTGGCCCAGATGCAGCAAAACAGGCCCAAACCATGATACTACCACCACCATGTTTCACAGATGGGATATGTTTCTTATGCTGAAATGCAGTGTGTTCTTTTCTCCAAACATAACTTCTCATTTAAACCAAAAAGTGATATTTTAGTCTCATCTGTCCACAAAACATTTCTCCAATAGCATCTGGCTTGTCCACATGATCTTTAGCAAACTGCAGATGGGCAGCAATGTTCAGTGGCTTTCTTCTTGCAACTCTGCCATGCACACTATGGTTGTTCAGTGTTCTCCTGATGATGGACTCATGGACATTAACATTAGCCAATGTGAGAAAGGCATTTAGTTGCTTAGAAGTTACCTTGGGTTCCTTTGCAGCCTTGTGGATTATTACAGTTTATTACAGCTTTTAGAGGGATCTTTGTTGGTCGACCACTCTTGGGGAGGGTAACAGTGGTCTTGAATTTCCTGCATTTGTACACAGTCTGTCTGACTGTGGATTTGTGGAGTCCAAACTTAAGTTTTCGCAGTGGATCGCTAGAGTGTGAAGGTAATTAAAACTTTGAACTAAAATGCCATTGAGAAATCGTTAGTAATCAATTTGAACGTATTTTCCCCGAGGTAACGTTTTTCTGTGCTGATATTATCGAGCAACCCGACGGAAAGGCAAAGTTAGTGCTAATGTTTAATGTGGTTAACGATAACAGAACCCCTGTTTAATACAATGACGTTCATAAATTTTTTGCAAATTGTGTACAATCCTTCAGGCATATTTTTTCCCGTGTATTACGACTAATTCGTGTCAGGGAGTGACTGGTGGCGCCAACTAATGTGGGGTGGGGTGGGGGAGGGGTTCTGGCTGACCTGTAAGTTATACCTTTTAAATTTGATCACAGAAAATACTCGTTATTTTGCAGACTTTCCCTTTCAAGATTCACTTTCGTCATTCACTTGGTGGTCTTAATTGCAACAAATGGGAAAATCCTGTCAGGGAGTGAGTGGCGCCCGATTTATTTGGGGTGGGGGAGGGTATGTTACAGAACGTTAAAATCTCTTAAAATGCTTGCCACACTCACATTTAAATAACATATTTCAAATCCGCAACAAAATCTTACATGAATTGTCTTATAGATGTTGTATCTTGTGCTCAAATGGCGTTATAAAAAGCTTCAGGTCGGCCCAGCCAATACGAAAAAAAGCGCGCGACTCAGGACACCGTTTCTATGGCAACCGGAACTCTAGCTTCAGCTGCAGTAACGCAATGATTGGCCTTTTAGTTAGAAGGCGGAAATATTCCGCCATATTGCGTGTTGCACTTTTCTTCCATTCATCGTGTTATAGTCCACTGTCTTGGTTTACATTTAGTTTTACTGTTAAAAAAAGCTAGTAAATGGCTTGTTTTTAATGTCTTGTCTTTTATCACCTTGTTCCTCCAGTTTGACATCTGTTTTGCTTTGTATGCTGGCTAAGTAGAAGGGGTGAGTATTCCAATCTTTTATTTAATTTATTTCTAACTTGATTTTAGTTTTTTCCATTTGTATGTGCTGTATCTGTATAGACAGGCTATACACGGCGAAATTAAGTTATTTGGTTAATGAAATTAATTGAAGGTTTAGCATTTATAAGTAAAATATATGTAATAGAAGTATTATTCAAAGGTGATTTTTTTTTTTTAGGTGGTTGCATTTACGTGACGTTTTTCTGCTCAAAGCTTTTGTAAACTGCTTTGAATGATCTGCATCTGTGAATTTGGTGAGCATAACCCAAAAGTTTTAATCCTACTTATTTATACTTGTGTCATTTTACCTTAGTTTTTGGTTGTTTAAAGGGGTCATGCCATGGATATTTGATTATTCTGTTCCTTGAGGTTTCTTATAATGAAATAGAATCTGACAATACAATACATATCACAATACAGGGGTTATGATACAATATATTGCAATACTGTAAGAAATAGGGCTGCACGATATTGGAAAAAGCTGACATTGTGATATTTAAAAAAAAGTATTTTTTAGTATTTAATTATCCATTATTTCTTTTGAACAAAACGGTTTCAGAAATGTCATGTTTTAGATTGTAGGTCGTCTTGTACACTGTCAAGGACAAAGCTAACCAGCAAAACTTTATATCAAAAGCATCCTAAATGTTACATGTGTTTGCACCATATTGTAGTGATTAACCTTTCCTGGTATTGCTGTTTTAAATAGCCCACCATAATCTGTAGTCTGAGCCTGTCAAGGGCTAATGGCAATTGCAAATATGTTACTAGTTAGTTTAAAAGAAAATTATTTGAATCATTTTCAAATAATGTTTTTTTTTTTTTTTTGCCAAAAAAACCCCTGCATGTCCTCCACCCCCGGAAAAAGTTCAGGCTTAGGATTTTTTTTGCTTTAACTGATGTACTAGTTTTGAACCCTTTTTCATTGTATGCCTTTACAAATTGCATTTCAACTGTATGTTTACATGTATTTTTCCCTCTTTTTTTCTCTCAGATAAATGCTGAATTTAAACGAATTACAACAATGTCCCTACAATCCAGATTTTTGTCTCAGTTAGATATGCTGTCTGACAAATTTCTAAGAGTATTTAAAAAGCGAGGAGGGCAAATGGGAGGAAGACTGCAGACCATCATGGAACCCATGGCTCAAGTATGTTAGAGATTTTGTTTTTGGTGTGTACACATTTTATTGGGGAAAACACTGATCTATGACTTGGCTGGACGTAAAAAGTGCATTAAGTCAGTTTGGAATAACAATATGGCCACTCGAACACTTCCGGTGGCTTAACCACCTGCTGGGAGTTTAGGATTCCATGAGCAATCCAGTCATTTATATAGATCAGTGGGGGTAAAAATTTATATTAAAAAAAAAACCTCTGCTCTGCTTGTCACCCTTGGCCAGGACGATGATGTCGATATTGGACGAGAATGTATTATCAAGGGGCTCTGCGTATACCTCAACGAGGATCCAGACAATTTAGTGAAAGAGTATGTGGTAAGTACAATTATAAAGGTTCATTAATTTAGATCTGTCTTTCA